AAATAATTAAATATACATAATCTCCACTTCACCCCCTAAATTACAACTAATATTTCTTCATAAAACAGTAATTGAGGGACACTTTCAGATTAAACGCAGAGGTATTGTGTCCTGAGTCGACCACCGTTGCTGCCGTTACTTCTCAGTAACCTAGCAACAGGAACACAGGAGTGTAGGGACAGTTAATTGAACGTTAAAGTTAAAAGTGTACACATGAAACTGCATTTGTGAACATATTTTACCATAAAAGACTCAGATTTATTAAACAGAAAGTAAAGGTGGCGCAGTAGTGCTTCATGTTAGCATTAGAGAGCTAATTTAACTAATTTAAGGTAAGTTACTTTGTCTGTACCTGCCTTGGCGGGAAGAAGGGGAGGAAAAAAAAAGTTGAAGATTTAAACAGGGTCGGATTTACCCACAATGGGGGCATCAGGGCAGAAATAAGCTGTGGGCCCCCTGTTTCTCCCACTCTCTTATGCCAACAGTTTCTATACACCCAACCACATTAGTATTTGTTAGTATTAGTTGTGTTTAATGCCACCTGATGAATGTAGGCCCATTATTCACCCTCCTTTTATGGTCTCAAACAAGGAATTGTTTTCTATAAACTCTTAAATGTGACAGTACGCATCATTTAAGATTATAAATCTTAAATTATAAACTTAATAGCTACAAAAATGTCTTTCTGCTGTTCTTAAACCAGGTCAGACTTATTAACTTCATGCACTAAGGCTGCATTAACATCGGGGTCGGTTACAGATGTATTTGTGCGTTTGTCATTTAGTGTTTGAGCGTGGCTCAGAAGAAATAACAAAGAAAGAGAGAAAGCACAAAAGAAAGAACGTGGAAAAGAAATTAATATAAAAGAAAGGTAGGTAATCTAAGGTAGATTAGATTTTTTTTATGTCAATAATCAGTGCTCATCATGTTCTTTTCAAACTTGTTTTACATTTTAATCAATTTTCTCTTAATATGCAGATGACCAAAATCAAGAAGCTGAGGAAGACACGCAAATGGACCCAAGAAGCGATGCAGCAGGCCGTGCAGGAGGTGCAGGCAGGCCGGCTTTCTTTAGGACGGGCAGCCAAGAAATTTGCGGTCCCAAAGACGAGCGTGGCCGACCGAGTCAGCGGGCGGGTGGCCGTCGATTGTGTCCATGGCCAGAAGCCGCTTCTCGCCAGCGAAGATGAGACTTCCCTGGCGGAGTCCTGCTTGCACTCCGCCAGTCGTGGGCTTCCCCTAACAAAGTCTCAGATTGGGGCCCGCGCTCTGGCCGTCTACAACAACCGTAATCCGGACAAACCAAAGGCCCGTCTTGGCCAAACATGGTGGCTCGGTTTCAGGCGGCGTCAACAGCTCGGCCTCGCCACACGCCAGACGCCGGACTTCACTGACCACGGTAAGGAGTCCTGCGCGAAGAGGGGACCAGTTGAGGACTACTTCAGGCTCCTCGCTGCCACCCTGGAGGAGCAAGGCTTGAGGGAGAAGCCCTGTCAGATGTATAGCTGCGCCCTGACCCGGTTTGAGTTGGACGCAGGCAGGAAGACCAAGGGATCCAGAGACCACATCACCGTCCTGGCCTGCCTCAACGCGGCTGGGGAACATGTCCCTCCGTTCGTTATCTACAAAGGGGGCTATCCACGGGGGCACGATAAGAAGGAAGGAATCCCTGATGCCTTATATGGGACATCGCTGACGGGAGATCTGCACGGAGAGCTGTTAAGAAAGTGGTTTTTTGAGCACTTTCTGAGGTTTGCCGTGCAGACGCGCCCACTGCTGCTCGTCACAGACAGACAGCTGTCTCAGGTGGATCCAGAGCTGGTCCGGGTGGCACAGAGGGAGGGGGTCATTCTCCTGTGCCTTCCACCACACACGTCTCACATCCTGCAGCCTCTGGATATGAGTTTCTTTGGACCCTTGAAGGAAGATTTCTCGGGTCTTAAAGGAGATCTGTCAACAGTTCGTGAATCCTTCTTGGTTTCCAAGAAGGAGTTTTCAAGGGTCCTAAGAGACTCATACCAGAGGCTGAAGGATCCGAAGGTGGCGATGGCTGGATTTAGGAATTGTGGCCTCTACCCTTTGAACCCAACGGCCATTGATTGGTCGCAGGTCGTGTCGTCTGTGGTGCAACCTGAGACCCCTGTTCCAACTCCACTGTCACCTGAAGTTAATCGCCCGTCTCAGGATCCCCTTTTCCCTGTTGCACCGCCCAAAAGTCCATCTTCCAGTCTCTACCTCACTCATCCACTGGTAGCATCAGGTCGCGTAACTGCGGATGTTCTCCGCATCATCCTCAAAACCCGCCAAAACCGAACCTGTAGCACCGAAAGGTTCAGGAGGAAGGCCCGGATGGTGATGGTACCGAACACGTCAGACGTCGTCGAGGTGGTGGAGGACAGCGCACGAAGAGACAGTGTGCAGCAGCAGGAGGCCGAAGACACCAGCCCGGCAGCCAGTTCCTCTACCATACCTGTTAGCTCTTACACTTCAGGCTCCCACAGTCCTAAACATCATCTGACAGGAGAAGGTAAAGTTTTCTTAACTGTTTTGATAGAGAAAAGCATTTCTATTTTACATTTGGACTGCATTTGCATATCAATAAATGCATAAACTTAACTCAAAATGTAGATTTGAATGTTTAATATGATTGTGCCTCACAAGCTCCTTACTCCTGTGAAACACTTTATATAATCTGTAAAAAAAAAACAATATAAAACACATAAACAACTTTCTAACATGTTGGGAAAGTTGACTATAATAAACCAGTAAACATGTTCAGGCATGTCTAAGTCAAGTCTTTTTATATGTACAGTTTTGAACCGCTCTCCTGTCATCTGAAAATCTGCAGTTTCCTCACACACTCTTTCTTTTTCTTTTCTTCTCCGAGTAGGTAACATTGCTGCAAAGAGGCACAAACGCGAAAGGAGGATTTTGAGATGTGGACAGTGCAGGCACCCTTACCCGCTGCGGGATCCAGAAGGACTGGTGCTGTGGGTTCAGTGCGACAACTGCCACACGCTGTTTCACACCATTTGTGTAGGCACAGAATTGGACCTGGACGCTGATCAGTTTTTCTGTTTTTGGTGTCTTGATGTTTGATTTTGTTGTGTTTTTTTGATATTTTGTAATAAATTCAATGTTCAATGCACTGTTTGTGTTGCAGTTCAAGGTTACAGACACATGTTCACATCCTCTTACTGATGCACTTACTGACAAATACCACAAGGGGGCAGGAGCTCACATGAAAGAAAAGGGGGTCTATGGATGAGATGGATACAAAATGCAGATATGTTGTTTATGAAATATTCTTACAGCACGTTGGAAGAAGAATCTGATATACAAATATGCACATTTAAATATGTTGTTAGGTGAAATCTAAAGTTCATGTTCATGTGTATTTTTGTTTTGTGGCCTTTATTTTGTAGCTTCATGTGAAGGTGGAAGTGTTTTATTTTGGAAGTGAGACATGTAACGGAAAAGTAACGAAGAAGGTAACTTGCACAACCGTCTTTACTCTGAAATTAGGACTGTATTCAACAGTTTAATAGTTTTTCCTCGAGGTAACCAAGTTATTTAAATGATTCACATGTTTCTAATGAATTATAGTTTATTTTGTATTTATGGGTTAAATTAACTTATTTTGTAAGCGAGGGAAACCCTCATTAAATGCATTATTTTAATAAAAGTTATATCTTGTTTTATTTGTCTGGCTTTTCTTACCTTAGTTTAACGAACTTTGAAGTTCAAATACACTGTTTATAGGCAATCAATAAGGTTAATATAATAGGTCTATTGGGTCAGGGTGCAAACTTTAATGTCACACACAATCATTTCAAACATACCTGTGAAGGGAAAGCAACCTCGGAGGTCACATTTTTCTTTTTAGTGATAATAAATAAAGACCATAAAGACCCTGTTTGTATTTAAACGTTACTGTAGGTACTTGAATCTGATACTGACCAAGTTTTATCTGCGTGCGTGAAGGCAGCATCTCTCTCTCTCTCTCTGGGTGCTGACAGGTACTTGAAGGTTGTGGCTCTTTGCAGACCTCCGCTGAGGTGTCGACAGCAACTCAAGCTGATGTCATTCGCCCGATTGAAACTTTTGTGCCGTGACCGCTCCAACGTGCCCCCAAAACCCAGGCACCTACAACCAGTCCTCTAACCGGGGGGCTCCTCACATCAGTATCCCCCAGCAAGTGTGTGCAGACCGCCCGCAGCAGTCCGCCGCACCGCCTCCGTGCCTCTGTCGCTCTGCAAGGTAAGACTGATCTGCTTAAATGATTGACACCTTGTGATTTATGAACATTCACTGGGGAAAGAAATGCAGCAATGCTGCAGAAACATTAAATGTAGCCCACTAATCTTTGCTGCTTTCACCTGGTATGATTGATGCACCGTGCACGTTTGAATTGCTGAGTTATCCGATGTACTTGACTGGCACCTGGAACATATATTTGGTGCCCAGGGGAGGAGAACTGATGAGTTTAAAATGATGTTTGTGTGGAAGTTTTTATAAATTCCTGAATGTTTTTACTTCAAGGACTTTCAAATTGATGCACAGTTAGTGTTTTAGAGTTTTACCATACAGTGAATCATCTAAAATTATCTTGCATTGTAACCTCCAGGGATTCAGAGTGAGAAAGTGGGAACCCAAACTAGTCCTGTTTTCTGTGAGGGGGACCCCGAATCCCCTGTTGGACCTTCTCCATAGCTGCTTCAGAAAAAAAACAGATGCTGCAAAGCTGTTTGTAGGTCTACAGTATGTGCAGAAGCCAGGCAGTTCCCTGGAGGAATGCCCTTACCTCAGAGCTGAGTCATGCAAATTATACCTCCCTTCTGTTTCTCCCATCTCTTATCTTTTGAGTTGTTATCACCAGGCCACAATCATTTAACCTAAAATGCAAGTTATAATTAATAAATAGAAAAAGTGAGTTCTTTTCAAGCCATAAATTCTTAAAACATTCTTTTTGTTTTGATAAAATCTGACCAAACTTTACAAAATCTTTCATTAAAATTGCCAAAGCAGATGAAACTGCAGTGCAAATATATTGCAAGATTTCATTGCAGTGCGAGAGTTGGTAAGTTTTTCCCTGTTTTTAAGACAAAAATAATGATAAAATTCCATACAAGTGAGAACTAGTTGCACATTTTTCTGTCCATATCCAACAGGTTATGTTTTATAGGGCAGCAAAATGGTTACGCAGAAACATGTTGGCTGACAAACAGGGAGGTAGATAAAACCTTCTAAACCAGTTTTTTAAGGATGAAATAAATCTTTATAATATTGATTCACATAACATGTACTCATTAGTGTCAGTCTAGTAATTTAAGTAATATGACAGTGTATTAATTCAAGGACAAAGTACAGAAGATGCACTATGACTGGAAAATGTGAAATTTTATGGGGTTAAATTACACTGCCAAAGTATTTCCCCGTTTCCCTCTGGGCTTGTAAAAGAAATACAGACACTTGCATTTAAATACCCAATAAAGCAGGGAAAATAAGCCTCTGAGAGAACATTTGAATCAGTTTGGGAGCAGAGTGGAAATGCAACCTCCCGGAGGCAAACATCCAAAGCCCGAATGAAAACTGCTGATATTGTGGTGCAACGTGATAATAGCCCCTTCTGCCTGCAGCACAGACACAGTGAAAGTCATCTAACATTTCACACAAATAAGATGTTTGCTGTTGTGTGGCTACTTAGCTGCAAGCCCAGCCATGCTTGATGTGCACCTGCATGTGTGTGTGCGTGTGTGTGTGTGAGAGAGAGAGAGAGAGAGATAACTTGATGAAGTTGTCAACTGCACAAACACCTCCAGTGGTTTAGTCTTAGCTTACACATTCACACGTGTCCCAAATGCAGGCAGCTGTAAAGTGGCTTTAACTCTCTATTAAAGTCTCTGAGAAGAATATAGAAGAATCAGGTTATAATGACATACAAAGGGAAGATGGAAGGAGGAGAAGGATGCAAAAAAAAGTGCAGAAATGAGGAGGAGGTACTGTAGAAAAAGACAGATGAGACAAGGAACAGGAGGCGATAGCACAGTGAGTAGTGAGGTGGTGAAAGGAGAACCAGAAAAAATAACGCGAGGAAGCAAGAGGAGAGAAGGAAGAAGACACATTTGGATGATTAGACAAAATGAAGATTAAGCCAAGGGGAGATGTTTAAACCAGCACTAAGATAACTGCCTCCTTGGTTGTAAAAACACAGTAGTTATTCAGTGTCTAACCCAATCGTCCTCTGTCATATTTCAGCTGCTTCTATAGTTACTGTAACCTACAGGTAAACACATTCAGACAGCTTCAGACATGTTCTCTCAAGGCAAGCAGACAACCACAGGGAGGAAAATGATATTCCACCTCTGTCAAATGTTTATATTCACACCTCAGAAACAGTTCAGGAGAGGTCAGAGCATCTCATAAAAAGTAATGTTCCTGCCTTCATTTCTGGGCTCGGGTTACCTTTTTATTTAACTGATCACAGGAGTAAGGCTTTGTTGGATTTCTCTTGGTAGGGCTGTGACATTATGCTTTGTTTTTGACACAGTGCTAACATGTTGACCGAAAAAGCACAGCAAACCGCAAGTCTGCCTCTTGATGTTGCATTTGAATAACCTTTGTGGCATCCGTGGTGATATGGTCATATTGTTTTATCTTAACAAGCAAGTAAATATACTATTAAACGTTTTATTTAAAGAAATCTGTTCAAGGTATAATCATAGGTTTATAAGTTTTAATAGGTTTTTTAAATACAGTTATTTTCCACTGACTTACAGTTGGAATTATTTTAATGTGAAATCTGAAAAGATTTGCTTTATAATATCAATATGAAAAACATATTCATATCATAATATTATCTTATATGCTCATATCCTCTGGCCCCAGTAGCCATTTGTGGTGGAATCATTTGCACCACAAATTTGCATTTGTTTGTACTTCTTTTAATTGTGTATGTATGGCAGGTATTGAATGAGCAATATGAATCTAACTTTGGTTGTATTCCAGCTGGGGATACTAGGTTTTCATGTTTGTTCCCACAGCACACGTCTTTATTCGTCATACGGGACAAATGGGATGCAGCCTTACCTGCCACCTGGATTACTAGCACAGTTACCTGAGACTAAAAGTCAGCCACATTGTCTCATCTTTCCTGCGTAGCGTCCTTCATTTGAAACAATCAAACATTGTGCTGCCTGGCTAAGTAACAGCAGCTAAAATTGGCTTGGTGGTGATGCTGATGTTATTTTTGCAGCTTAATTCAATTGCTTGGATTGTGTCAGTCTAATGTGATTGGCAAAAACGGATGTCCTTGGACTACAGAAGACAGCCAATACAGGCATTAGAGAGTGACTGAGTAAATGGAAAATCGTCCTCTAATGCTGCTGTGACTGCTCTGGGCTTTGAGTTCGATAGCTGCTTTGGTATTTGGGGAGTGTCTGTCAAATAGCCAGGCCTGTTTAGATCATTCAGCAAGTTGGATGCTGGGATAGGTCAATTTATATTCTATAATTTAATAAACAGTGTGACGGCGCTCCAGAGAAATGTGGTCATGGGAAAAAGCTGGGGTCAAACCAACGGGGAGAGGAGAGGAGAGGAGAGGAAGCTTGGATTGGACTTGACAGGAAGAAGAACCCTCTGGGGAGTGCAAGTTCAGTTTTGTGGATAGTGAGCTTGTTCACTGGTTCTACTGGGATTAATTTTCCTCAGTGCTGACTTCTTTTTTCGACTCATCAGTGCTGACCTTTTCTTTAGTCTCTCATCCTGTCAGCACTATTTGGATGTGTACAAGCATGTCCTTCCATTGTAAACAAAGAGAGAAAATGCCAGCGCTGTAAAAACGAGATCCCCAGGAGTTTCACAGGACGATTCTCTTTGTCCCGTTGGTGGCTTCCCTACTGAGTTGCCCCTGTCTTATGAGGACAACCAGTGTTTGTTTCTAATCCAGAAAAGGAAATCTGACCTCCCCAAAGGACATGCAACAAATGCATAGTTTCCCTTTTCTTCCCCCTATCAAGTAGTTTCTAAGCTCTCTAAACTGCTTTCTTTCCTGCAAGTCTTCAAATTAAAAGCCAGCGTTCATTTGTGTGTCTGGAAAGGTTCTGTGATCTTTCAAGAGTTTTCAATCAGCCATGTGGAGCCCTTTGGAAATTTTACAAGATAAACCGCTCACAATATCAGGCAAAAGCCTCAACACTTTAAAATGACATACAGCTGTTCAATAGTGTATGCTGCTCACTTGTTACGTGGATCATCTGGCTAAAAGATGCTGTGAAAGCTCCTGATATCTGTGCACAGTAGACAGGGTGTGGCCAACGCAGGTTTCAGGCTGCACAAGCTTCTCAGTTAACCCCAGTTGTAAACTTGATGGCACATTTTTATGGTCATCACATAAAGGGCACTGTTACTTAGACCCTTTTTCCTCTGTGATATCCCTTTTTAAATGAGTGAAAGTAAAACTAGGCAATTTGGAGCAGCACTGGTGGCTCCAAACAGAAGTTAGAAGTGACTAAAATGTAAATTGCGTGTAAACTTCACACAGAAACCTCACATTTACCGGTTTATGAAGTCTTATACCAAGGAGTAAAATACACAATAAGGGCTTGTTTTCCCTGAATGAAGCTCTGACTGTGACATTTTGACAGTACTAATCCAAGAAGTTAAGGTTCAGGAATGCTTGCACAGTGCAGCTTTTAAAAGCACTTGTTTGTTTTAACTCTTTGGTTTGGAGGCTAATTCCTCCGACCTCAGTCAACCCGATAAACAGCAGTGTGTAGGACTGGAAGTGTATTAAGAGGTGTCAGAATAGGTCAAGTGGTTATTAATGTTTGTAGTTTGTATAGTATAGTAACTGTACTTCAGTGTGAGTGATCTGTAAAACAAAGATATGATGTTGACCAATGCTCTTATAGTAAAGAGAGTAATTCCATTTTATTATTATTTAACATTGTTTATTTAATAGGAGCCATACAGCTAAACGTGGTTACTTACAGAAAACAGATGTAATTGTTATTTATCTAATATAGCCTTGTTTTGTTGGTCTGTATCCACTATGAGTGCGTTGCCTAATTACCAGGACTAATAATCTTTAGGTGGCTTTAATCACAAATTTTAATCATCACTGTAAATATGGTGCAACAGTAGTTTGTGACATTGCATGTTAACAGGAGTCCTCCACCAAATTGACCTCCAGTAGGGAAGATGACTTAAGCTGATGGATTAACTGGGCAGTAAGAGATGGAGATGAGCTATGTTAGTGTGCATTATTGCAGCATCAGCATAATGTGTATCTAGCATATGATAATGACAGAGCAGGCAATGGCAATGACTCCGCATGCATCCATTTGTATAAGTGTGTGCATTAATGTGTGTGTGAGCTAGTGCGCTTGACACACTAACCATGAGTAACACAGCTTTTAGTATGAGGTGACACACATAAGGAACAGCTGCAGAACACACAGACACACACACACACACACAGTTAATGTGGTATTGAGTTAGACAGATTTAGTTAGTCCTGAACCCTGTAAAGGGTACTGAGAAGTACAGTACATTTAAAGCATTTAAACTGTTAGTTGGGTTGTATGGAACATTTTATTACACAAATCAAATGAATGTATCAATGTTATTTATTGTTTCACAGCAGTATTGGATTTTTATATGATTTTTGCACAAATGTGATGATTTACTGTGACTTGTCAAGTGCTTGACTTTGCTGAATTAGCCAATAATAGACATTTACGCCTGGTTTTCACATTCTCAATTGACTGTACTGAAAAACGAATAACCAGAAAACATAGTATATCGAGATAAATATCAACGAGGCAAATGCATGTTGGTCACTGGTGTATGTGAGTTTTTTTTAGGAGAAAACTCACAAAGTACTTTAGAGATGCATTATGAAACAAAACAAAATTATATAATTGACTTGAGTCATTGATTTCTAATGTTGTGAGTAGTACATTTTCGGTTTAATTTTCAGCTCTATTATAGTTTATCGTTTTTTTTTAAAGTCAATGTCAGTAAATGTTCAGTTTTATCATCTCCTGTTTTATCTACTGTTGGTCATCAGCTTTCAGAAAAGGGAACTGTTCACAAGGAGAGGGCAAAGTCGAAATCATTTGTTAAATGATTCGTTCAACATACTAACATTGGCATCATGTAAGAGACCAGGCAGAGTAAGAGGGCGAATGACTTCAGATGCCTGGTACTGTATACA